TGCAGGTGCCTTTGGCTGTCATTATTTTCCCTGAACAGACCTATTTTACTCTTGCAACAAGAAACCGGTGCGTTTGTTAGCTTCTTTTACTCCTATCTCGTGGATCTGGGCGCTGAGACCAAGATGGGCGAAGTGGCTTGTCCAACAACGTCACATAGGATCAGAGGTAACATTAAAACTCAGACATGTGTGGGCACCTGGGTGGCTCAGTCGCCTAAGCATTTGCCTTCGGCTCAGGTCGTGATCTCTGGGTCCTGGGATCAAGCCCCACATCAGGCTCCCTGCTCAGTGGGGAGCCTGCTTCTCCCTCTCCCTCTGCCACTCCCCCTGCTCATACTTGCTCTCTCTGTCAAATAAATAACGATCTTTAAAAAACAAACAAACAAAAAACCCCTCAGGTATGTGTGACTCAAGACTTTGAACTTTCCAGAACACGCAGTGTCTCACCAGTAGGTTGTGTGTCAGGAAGATGTCGATGTGAGTAGTACTTTTATTTCATGGGCAGACCAAGGACCCAGGGGTGACTTGGATCCCAGCTGGCCTTGGGATATGAGTCTAGAGGTGGGATGGGAGAAATGGATTGTCAGAAGGGGTGGGGGAAGGGACGAAGGTTGGAGGAAAACCAGAAAGACTGGAGGAGGGGAAGCCTGGAGGCCCTTGTGCTCGTGCTTCAAAGTGAAAGGTCAAGCAGGAGGCTGGAGGGGAGGAAATAGGAACTAAGTTAATGATCCCCTGGAGGCTGATGGGCGGGACCAGTGGAGAGGGGCGAGAGACCAGGAGGGTGGCGAGGCTGCCTCCTCTTCCACTCATTTCAACGAGTTTTCAACCGCACAGAATTTCCCTAGTAAATAAAATGGCTTTCTAAATCAGTGTCTCTATTGAAGAACATATTAATTCAAGAAGGAAAAATTATTTCACACAACAGTTTTTCAGCCAGACATCTTAGAGAAGTGTCGACCTTTCTGGCCCCTGAGCAAAAGCTACAGTTCCTAAACAGCTGAAGCTCTTTTCCGACCTGGACACTTATCTGAGCAGAGGCTCCTGATGTGGCTGGAGGTGAGGAGTTGGTTTGTTCTTTCTGCAACTGTGGAATGAGGCAGTCTGGGAAATGGTGGTCAAAGGGGCCGCCAAAGAGAAGACCATTCCCATTATCGTTGTTGTAGGCACCCAGGGTCTCCCTGTGAAACCCTTACAAGCTTTTTTTAAAAAAAAAAATTTTATTTTTAGCACAGGAAAGAGGCCTTTTTAGCCCAGGAAAGAGGTGTCAGGAAAAGTTTTCCTTTTCCTTCGGAACTGGTATTCTTTTTCCTTATAAACAACATGGGGCCAGGTGATTTGATTCCATTTCCTTAGTTCTTTCTTTGCCCCACGACAGTGACAAGCCCAATCTACAGTTTATCTTCAATCACATGTTAGTACCCTATGACCTGCATGACCATGCATCGTTTTCCTTTTTGTCATGTTGTATCTTCCTGAGTATTTTTGTTTTTACTGCTTATGAAAACAACACATAGTCACTCTTAAAAACCTGGGAAGTACAGGGCGCCTGGGTGGCTCAGTTGGTTAAGTGACTGCCTTCGGCTCAGGTCATGATCCTGGAGTCCCGGGATCGAGTCCCACATCGGGCTCCCTGCTCAGCAGGGAGTCTGCTTCTCCCTCTGACCCTCTCCCCTCTCATGCTCTCTCTCTATCTCATTCTCTCAAATGAATAAATAAAAAAAGTCTTTAAAAAAAAAAAAAACCTGGGAAGTACAAGAGAGTTTTGATAAGAAAAGAAGAAGCACCAGTGGGCCTATTATTTTCATGTATCACCATCAATAGTTTGATATCTTTTTTCCTTTTTTGTTCCATTTTCTAATATGAGAATGGTACAGCATATGTATTCATCGAACACACATATGTAGGCAGATTGAACACACACACACACACACACATTTTCAGGAGAGAGGAGACTTTTAGAAACAGCAGAGACATCGGGTTTGAGGTAAGACTCGGCAGCAAGGGAGTGAAATCGTGGAAGAGGTGGGAGCAGCAAGGCAGTGGGGATTCATCCAGCTCAACTGCGGGTCCTGGCAGACAGTAAGGTTACACTGAGAAATCCGAGAAAGGAAATGAGTCAGTAACTCAGAGGGAGCGGAGATGAGACAGCAGTGTGAAAGAGCCAGAGGTTCAGCCTGCCTTCGGGAACGGGGAGACGGCAGCGAAATGATTTGAACAATAGCAGAATGTAGCTTTCAAATACAATCATGAGCAATGTATCAAGTTCTTGTGAGCAATGCCCTTGCGTTTGGCATTCAGACTGGGAGCCACCCTCGACATCCTGAGAGCGAGTGTTAGAGCAAAGCTGCTTGTCTGGTCGACGGGTGGGTGTGCAGAGGCTGGGAATTCCAGTGGCTTTCTGCTCAGAGTTGTTTCTGAGCAATGAGAACTGCTCACTTAAGACTCCCTCTTGTACTCTAGTCTTTGGGGAATACCGTGAGTGACACTTTTAATTAACAAATCTGCTGGGAACAAAACTCCTTTCAAAGCGTTGGCTGGGCATGGGCTTTGAAGGGTGGGCCGAGGAGGCTCCCACGGTCCTGGGGGAGTTCTAGGACTCGGAAGCCACGCTGAGTTGTACCTCTTTGGGGCCAGACCTCTCTGAGATGGGGCCAGAGGGTCCTCCCAGAACGCCCCAGCACTCTGTTCCCGAGGATGGAGGCTAGCCAGCTGCGGTGACGTCCTTAGGCAAGCTGGGCTCACTTATCACTTGGGGTGCGGGCCTCTCTGCTCTCCCTAGATTCAGGGGTCCACAGCCCACTGGTTCGGAATGAGAGAGGAGAGTGGGGACCAGCATTTGGGAGCGCATCGCCCTGGCTCCTACGTCATTCCTACAGCTGACAGTAGCTGTGTGCTGGACCCCAGCAGACGTGCATCACTCTCCCTCACTGCGGCTGTGAGTGATCTCGCTGTTTCTGGCGAAGCATCGAGATCCATGGTATCAGAGGGTCTAAGAAAGGGCTCGTGAAAGAGAGAAGGATTCCTTTCCTTCCGGTACCATGTGAAAAGTATGTAGGACAGACCTACCTAGGAAAAACATGTTTAATAATGTAGGTCCTGAAGGAATGTTAGTCAAAGGGTTTCTTAGCTCTAATTACTTTGCTAAAGGGAGTTTACTTAACTCTGACATCCTCATCAATTGGTTCCTGACTCTGAAGGACGATGACAAATCCCCTGAGGCTGGTGATGAGTTTCCACTAGACCAGAAGTTGACAAAAGGATTTTATGAAAGCTTTCAGCAGAATTATAATCGTTAAACTGAAGGTGTAACTAAGACCATTGTTCCTTTCTTTTTCAACTTTTTGTGCTTGAGTAAGTGATTGTCATCTCTCTAGTTCAGTCTTTCCCCACTATTTGTGTTTTTCTGAACAGGACAGTCTTGGTTTTAACATTTTTATTCTTCCCTGTTCGTTTTGGATTATGTTTTGAAGACTCTTGATAGCTCTTACACTATGGAAACACAACAGTTAAACTTAATTACGCTTGCTTTACCAAGCCTGACTTTTTTTTTTTTTTTTTTTTTTAAATCACACTCATTTAAAGGTCTTCTTGGGAAAACATCCAGGTTTTCACTCAAGGCAGTGGATGAGTTCCCCGTGCAATAACTTGCTGTCTAGGATAAAGAAATCCGAAGAAGTTTAGCAGCGGCAGCATTTGAATGCGAGGAAATGATGCAAAAGAAAAGAAAAGTACAACTCCTGCGAGGGAGATGATTAAATTAAAAGATAGTAATAGTGGTTTGCTATGCTAAAGATTCAAAGGGAGCCATTGTTATTCAAAATTAAGGTGTGTTTAACTGAAAGAACAATCATGTTCCTTTTCATATGGATCTAGAAGGGTCTGTAGTGTGTGGGGGTTGACAGCGACAGTTACTTTGGGAGAGGCAAACCTAGTTGTAAGGCTTAGAACAAAAGGCTCACATTTAGTTTCTGCTATCAGAGTTTTTTGTCTTTAATAACTATAGAGAGAACTCCGATACAGTTCGTAAAACAAAGTTAGGGCACCAGATGATTATGCTCATCTTTAAAAGAAAAATATAATAAAATTTCAGAAAAGAGTTTATGGCATGGGGTACATAGAGCACCAGGAATGACTTATGATGTGGTTTGGGAGGAGGCAGACAAAGCTGGAGGTCCTGTCCATCTTTCTAAGGACAGATGGAAACTCTGGACAGAAGCTTATGTTGGGCCAGTTTCTCCGAGATTAAATCACAATAACAAATACTGGAAGTTGTGTATGACCAAAAGTCTAATCATGTCTTTTGCCCTCAGAAACCTTCATGCCTTGACATTTGGGTTTCTCCGTAATCTGTCTTCCTACACTTAATTCCTGCTACTCTGTATACTCTAGCTACACGGTTGTTAACCTTGCTGAGTCGAACATAAGCTTCTTGAGGGTTTTACGTATTAACCTGTGTGGACCTCACAGTGCCTTCCTTGCTCTTAGTAAGAGCCGAGTCATGTCATGTTTATGAGGTTGGTTTCAAGAGCCCTGTCTTGGCTGAGACCGGCAGAGGTGTCCTCGTTAGGTCAGTTATATGATCCGGGGAGCGTAGGAGGGTTGGCAGGGCAGGAGAGCAGGGTCTTGCTTTGGGAGAGGAGTTCCCACCATGGCATCCCGGTGATTGAATGGCAGGGAAGCATCTGAGGAGCTGGGGAGTCAAGGCTCCTTGGCTGGGAGGAGATACACTGGTGGGGCAGAAAACCTTTAAGAGGGGTTTTTGCATCTAGGGGTGGCTGGGACATCTAAGTCATGTGCTTGTATTCAGAGAGTCCCTGCTGGGGCCCTTGGATGGAGGGGTATGTGGGCAAGGGTGACCTTGGATAAAAACCGTGTGTCAGCCATGTATAAGCAGATCCTACGGGGAAGAGCCAGCGTCAGCGTCGTTTAACTATTATTGGTGATGGTGATAATGATAATTATGCTGACAATTAAAAAGATAATTGTTTTCCTTCTTTTAGTCACATAGAAAAAATCACCACATGGCAAGACCCTAGGAAGGCGATGAATCAGCCTCTGAATCCTATGAACCTCCACCCTGCGGCCACTTCCACCCCAGCACCCCAGAGGTCCATGGCCGTGTCTCAGCCGAATCTCGGTAAGCCAAAAGCATCCACTTGGAGCTGAACAGGTGTTTAACCCAGAGGCTCTGGAGCTCAGAAGCAGCTCTGGTTGTCTCGGTGTCGACTTGTGCACCCAGATAGTTCTTGAGTTCTTGGGGTGCATTACCCTTCTGCCACCTTTGCCTATTTTCGTGGCGTCCTTGCTACCAGTTCACATTATTGCTACTTAGGTTCACAATACTGCTACCTGGGTTCACAATATTGCTACCTAGGTTCACACTGTGGTTCCAGCATCTCCTTCAGTTGCCTCAGTTGGGGCCTCCTCTCTTCATCCAGGCTAAGGCAAGTACACACCTCATTCTGTGAATTGGGTTCCTGAAGACTGCCAAAGGTGCAGTTCTGATCTCAAATCCCTTTCTTTCCTTCTTTTATTATTATTATTTTGCATAATGTGTGATTGACACCAGGCTAAGTGCTTTCATGCCTTATCTCATTCAACTCAAAACAGCCCTACAAGAAGTGTGATAGCATTCCCATTTCACGGATGAGGAAGCTTTCTCAAGGTCATACAGCTTGTGGATAGCAGAGTTTGGAGTTTGAACTGAGGCTGCTGTGGTTTAGAAGGCATTCAGCCTTTACCTAATCTGCAGGGGGCTTCTTGAGATACCTGCTCCAGGACAATGCAGCTTACTCTTCACCTCATTTAGAATGTTTAAGTGTGATTTTAGAATTGAGAAAAGATTATTTTCTGCTAATTGCCTTTACTAAAGAAGAACTGAAATTCTGCCCACTAGAGATGATCCAGTGTGAATTAATACACTGCAGCAATGTAAGTAATCAGCTTCTATTGTAGTCATTCCCCCTGGACTCTCCTTCCAAAGGCTAAGAATAAAGGGTACTTTTAAAGTTTTACAAAAGACGGTGCCGTTTTCAGATAACATTTCCATTTAAGATCAGATATCCAGATACTGCTTTATACACAGAATAGTTACTTTTAGAGTGAAAAGAATCTCCTGTTGGATTTTTCAGGAATGAACAGGATAAAAATGGAAGCATTATTCCCAGACACCTTCCCTCACTCTGTGACTTAGCCAAAGTGAGTATGAACTCAAGTAAACCCGAGTCAGCTTCAAGTAAATATATTGTCTGTTCTTCCAGGAAGTCTGGATCTACCATTTTAAAGCTTGCAGATGTAAAATATATCCAGAAGCAAACAACTTGGAATAACTTCTGTTGTGTCCCATATCTAACAGGCAGATCAAGGAAAATGGTACCAATGCTTCTACCAGCAGTGGTAAACCGAAACTTCCCATGACTCATTTGTCCCAAATATATAAGAGCTCAAATAGAAAGCATTTGCAAGCTTAGTAAAGAAACCACAAATTAGGTAGCATTAGATGAGTTTCAAGGTTTCTTTTAGCCATTTAATTTTCATTAAAAATTCTAAAGACTGATTATTAAAGTATTAACTTTCATTTTATAATCCATTATAATTGGAAAAAAGTCTTCATGGACTTTGTTAAAAAAATGCAAACACTTTTTCAAAGCATTGTTCAAAAAGTAAGTTTTTCTCGGATCCCCTTTCCTGGAGTTCTCTAGTGCTTCCGGTCGGGGCATGCGTTTCTTCCCATGAATGCTAGCATCCTCGACCTATTGTTCTGCACCTCTCCTCTTCGGCTTTGGTATCTGTACATACAGAGCTGCCTTATTCTTGTAAAAGATTTCCTAATCGTCTCAACATAGTGATATGCCATGATTAGTGTATTTAACTGGCAACCCCCATCTGATGGGTATTTAGGTTGTTACTAGTGTGTAGCTAGTATACACAATACTGGAATGAATATCCTTGTTCATGCTGTACTTGCCTTCATTTTTAAAAGTTATGCAGCAAGTACAAAGTGGACTAATTAAATTAAAAGGAATTTGAATGCTTGAAACTTAACACTGAAGGCACATGTGAGTCGGCCTGTGCACGAGGGCCATCCCCTTCCCTGCAAAAGCACAATTATTGGTAAAGTGTATCTAAAGAATTTGGAATGTGAATGGTGGAACCATGTTTACCTGTTGCTGAGTTATACTTTCCAGATTTCTAATAAATCGAAGCAGTCAATTTTTCAAGGCACATTCCAGGTTTTTTCCAAACACTATTTGAATATTTGTCCATTACAAAAAGTGTTTCTAGCCTATAGAGAATCACAGATGTGTCCCAAAGATAGACACGTAACAATGCCAAGTGAGCACCAAAGACTGGGGCTAATTTAGAAAGTCACAATGTGGTCCTAATAATGAGTGATTTATTCAGAATATGTTATTTCAGGCTATATAGCTCTACCCGTAGTTTATACTCTTATTATCAATTTTTAAAACTCTAAAAAGCAGGTCCTTCTACTTCTTCAATCTGAATTTTCATCTTTTCAATAGAATATAGCTAACCACTAAGTGAACTTAAGTGGTATGTCTCCTTTACAGGGAGGTGTTTAGGTACAGGTAAAAATGTCAAAATACAGTTAATAATATTATTATTATACTATATAATATATATGTAATATTATTATAACATATATTATTATTATAAGATGATAAAATTAGTACCTTTAAATAGCTAATTATATATGTTTCTAGAGCTGTGATATAATCTATGATATTGCTAAATACATTCAGAAATAAATCTTTTTTTTTTTTGGATTCTATGTTTTACTGTAGGTTAGGTTCATGGATTTGGGAATCAGACTGTCAGAATTTGAAACCTGGCTTTGCCCATTACTAGCGTTGATGACCCTGTTAAGTTACTTAATTTTGCCTTAGTTTCCTTATATGTAAAATGAAGATTATTATTATAGTATGAAGAGATTATATGAGCTTATATATGTAAAGAGCATAGATCTGGTGCCTGGCACATAACAAGCTATAATTGTTTTATTATTATTGACATTATTCTTTGTGGAAAGAAAAGTTTTATATTTTATTTTTTTAAGATTTTATTTATTTATTTGACAGAGAGAGACACAGCGAGAGAGGGAACACAAATAGGGGGAGTGGGAGAGGGAGAAGCAGGCTTCCTGCCAAGCAGGAGCCCAATGTGGGGCTCAATCCCAGGACCCTGGGATCATGACCAGAGCCGAAGGCAGACGCTTAACGACTGAGCCACCCAGGCGCCCTGAAAAGTTTTATATTTTATTCAGTGTTAGATTTGAAGATAATTTCATTGTTCATCCTGAAAGCTCTCAAAAAAAGATTTTATTTTGGGCGAGTTAGAGCGCAAAGTGCTTTAAATGAGGAACACTGTGTTTATTACTTTCAGTGAGTATAGCGCCCCCTGGTGGAAATATTTCTGCGCGTGCCCCCCCACCCCCCCAAGAAGCTTATCAGTGAATACCTTATTTTTTCAGTGGATCTGTTCCTGAAATGTAGCTTGTAAGTCAAATCATATTTTCACTGGCAGAGAAGAGACCTATCTCTTAAAGGTGTCCTTAAGTGAGTGACTTGTAAAAATGGAGTAAACTTTTGTCCAGGCTGCATCAGTATCCAGGGAAAAGCCATCTATGTAGGATGGGAGATTTGTTGTGTATCTAAACTCACTAATTTTTCAAATGCCTAAGTAAAATGAGATAGACTCTGCAGGGGAAAAATGAAAAAAAATTTTTTTTTAATTTTATTTCAAATAACATCTCTGGCTTGGTCTAGTTTTTAACTGAAATTTTTGCTTTCGTATTTGCCAAATCAGGTTTTCTGTCAGGTTTTATCCTACTTGATTCTGTCTGAGCAGATTGGTGACCTTTGTGTCTCAGTCTCCAGAGATGCCCAGTGAATGGAAGAAGAAAGGAAGACCTTGGAGAACATCAGAGAGTTAAGAGGAGAGATGATCTCTGGGTGGAAGCCATATTGCTTGGGGCTGACAACTTGCTTAGAGTCCTCAATTACGATGTAACAGTGAAGGGGGAAAATGACTGTACATGTGAAAGTTGATTTTTTTTCTAAACGGGTAGGACCTTGTATCTTTTAAGTGGGTTGTTGTCTCATTAATCACCATTAATACCCACTGGATTTTTTTTGAAGGGGGGGGATGAAACAAACGGGAGAAAAGGACTCTACACAGGCCCTATTCTAATATATAGGACAGTGGGCTTGGGGGAAAGTGGGGCCTGCTAAGGAAATAGTTAGGGTGTTAGGGCAGTAGGGGAGAGGTAGGGTGGAGGCAGGGGATCTTTTTGTCTGGTGGTTCATGGAAGAACTTGGAGTCAGAGCTGAGTTTCTCTTGGCTTAGACATTTACTGGTTTTGTGTGTGATCAACCTCTCTGAGTCTCGTTTTTGTTTTTTGTAAAGTGGTGATGATGACAGCAAACATACCTGTCTATCTCCTAAACGTTGTCTTGAGTATGTGGGCACTTGGCATATAGAAAGCCCCCAAAAGAAGTATATTGTTATAACTGTTCTTGTTAGCTGGTAGCTTGATTTTCCCTCACTATTCTGGCCCCTGTGTACTCAGGTGGAAGAGCTTGTGGTGAGAACACTTAGAAAGCCATCTTCTCCTCCCTCGGGAAAACCCAGCCATGGTGCCCATAACTTGTATCGTTTGGGACTTTTGCTTACATTTTGCAAATATAAGTTGGTGGACCCCAGACAGCAGTCCAGGCACGTGCTCGTGACCCGGCTCTTTCTCCATCAGATCATTAACAGGGAGTTTGTGACGAGCAGGCACACTCAAGTACCACGTGAGGGACATTTCTGCCTCTATAAGTGTGACAGTGGCAAGGTTTTCCTGTGTCTTAGCACACACATACTGGAATCATGCAGCAACTTAAAATATCCCATTTTAAAATGTTACTGCTGAGAGAAAGTGACATGCAGTTTTGCCCTTTTGGTGATAATCCTAGTGGTCAGAAACTATGGTGTGCTGGGCTCCTGTCACACATTAACAGACCTCTTTGTTGGCATGAGGCCCTGACCTGGGGTGCCAGTATCCTCCCAGACAGAACAGGAAAAATAAAGACTGTATAACAACTTCACCAGACTGCCAGCCCGAGCCGGTTCAGA